CGCTCTTCACTCTGGTGGTGCTCGGCGGGTGCGCGCTCATCGTCGGGGTGGTGCCGTTCGACGAGAAGCTGCCCTTGGTGTTCCGCATCCTCATCGTGTGCTGCGCGCTCGTCGCCATGATGTGCCTGGCCTACGTGTCCATCCACCAGGCGTGGCCCTGTGTGCGTGCTTGGTTTCGCCGCCGCGAAGAGGGCGACCGGCGAGAGGAAGCGGTACCGCTGGCTAGGCAAGAGCGTCTTCGGGCCGCGCTGCTGCCCCCGGCTACGAGGAGCCACTCGTTCGTGTTCAGCTCAGCCTCGCCCAACCCTCTGCCTGAAAACCCACCGCCGTACCAGCGCGTTCCCACCCCTCCGCGCTACACCAGCTCTCCCCTGCGGTCGCATCCCGCCTCCCGCCCCATCTTCTTGCCGAGCCCGCCCCCGCCGTTCCCGATTCCGCCTCTTCCTATGGGTTATCCAACGCGGCCTACCGCCCATGCATATAACTCCAACCGCTCCCTCACCTCTTTGGAAACGGCGATTCACAACTGCTACTATTATGATCAGGCCAGGGAGCCGTTGTTCAGAGAATCTACTCCGCCTTCATCTTCACCTTCACCTTCACCTCCGAGCTCCAGATATGGAGTCGACGAACATTCAAACAGTGGCTCTGATAAAGAAGATGAAGTTTAGCAACGTTATGTTGCTCTATTTAAGACTGCTCAAATCTTTCGGATGGATATGAACAGTCTGCTAAATATTTAAGTGATTTTCCTTTTCCTTTTCTTCACTTGACTTTCGAAGAATGAATCCCATGAGTGTGAGTGACGATGAAGATTCGCAATGGTACATTACTGTTATTACTTGTGTTTCAAAAATTTGTTGTGTGTATGAAAAGTATTTAAAAATGCTTATTTTACTTCATTTCTTTACCGAACATCTCCGAGACTTCAGTGAATTTGATGAAGGTTCCGGAAGAGACCCCAGAATAACGTTACGTTACTATTAGTGAGTATTGTGCATGAAACTCTGCTCCTTGAAGAGGATCTTTCGGAAGTGTATGTTCCTTTAATTCTCATTTTCTTGAGACATCCTCAGGATTTGCGGAGAGTGAAGTTGATGAAGACAGTACAAAAACATGCAGAATAGCAACATAACAGTTCTTTTAATACCTATACTTTTATGATTTGACTGTGGCGTGTGAGTAGTGAGAGAATGTAAAAAAAATATTGTACCTTTATTTCTACGCTTCTTTGCCTACACCCATGAACTTTTCTGTGAGTGAATTAGATAAGATCTTTGAAGAGGAAAATGCAGAATAGCAATATTGAGCTGCTCGGAGTTATACTTCAAACATTTCTAGGGATCGTGTGAACTACTATCAAAAATGAATGTTATATTCCGTTACAATTTCTTTACAATAACTCTGAAACACTTGAAATGTGAATTCGGGAAAGCCTTTCCGAACAAAAATGAAGAATATTATTGCTTCGCAGCTCTGCATGTTACTATTTCTTATTGAGTGTGTCTTCTGCTTGTGTACAATTTCTCAGAAGAGCCTCTGCATTTTGTTATCAGATGTTCCTTCACAAGGGTAAATGCAATGAGAACTCATTGAAATGAGATGCTGAAGAGCAATGGTATCTTGACTTTTAGATTTTTAAGTTTAGATTCGTGATGTGTACTTGAAGAAACTGTCTTCTGCACATTCTGTTAAATGATTCTAAAGACTTACCAAGAGCAAAATCAATCAAGACTTTGCGAGTGAAGATTCAGAATTGCTACATGACGTTTTTGTTTATCATTGTTGTGTTTCACACATTTGTCGTGCGTGTGGAGAATTTTTCAATAGTGAATTCTGTTACTTATTTTGTTTATTTAAGATTTTCGAATGGAATTAGTAGAAGTGTGCATCACTTAAGACCCCCCTGGGAAGATACAGAAGAGAAAAGTTTCGATGATGTATGTGCTTCAGTTATATCCTGTTCACGAGTGGACATTGCTACATACATGGAAATATTTTTTTGCTTTTTCACTTCCCCTGTGTATTATGAATTTGCCATTGCCGTTTTTCTTTCTTTCTGAATTGTTTAAAGGCTCCCTGTTAATTTGTATTTTGTTTTTAAAATCAAAATGCTGTAAACACCTTAAAAATACATTCACTTTTGTTCAGAATTCAGAGCGCAAACATTCAACATTTCTGAGCAATCAATCTGCTTTTCTCAGCAAAATCAATTGATGTTAGTATGCCAGTGTTTCAATTTGAATGTAAAACTTATTATTGTTTTAGAAGTATATTCAAGTAAATATACTCATTTGAGGGAGAAGATATGAAGACTGTTTTGTTTCATAACTATAAAAATGTGACGATACAAATAAAAAATGTTGTATAATTTTAAACGGGGCTTAAATCCAGGACTTCTTTTGAATGGATTCACATTTATATTCAAGGTATGTCGAATTCATTATTAAAGTTTCTATTTTAAATTACTTGCGAAGCATATTAACACATTTTATATGATCAACATGATCTTTTTCTTAGATTTCACCCCTTCTCTTCACCACCATCGTGATCGCAGAAAAACAGGAGACCAAGTATTTCACACAGCGGAAAACAGGAGAAGAATGGAGTTCTGTTTTTAACTTCTGGCAAATAAACGTAGGTACGTACTATGCATATATTTTCTTATGATGTGTTTGTTATACTCGTAGTATTAGAATCTAAGAAATTGATCAACATACTGTGAATCTTGTGGTCATCTTAGCATCTCCGCCTGTGCTCAACAGCTATATTAAACCACATCAATGAATCTGCAGCTCCACCCACTAATTGTGTGAAATATAAACACTGAGAATTTGCCTGTGTTGAGGGATGCGTTGAGGATAATGACATTTATCATAACTAATCGTAAAACAGATGAACAATGGATGTTCACGTGTTATATGATTTTCTGTATCATTTCATCATTGATATATATTTGAGATAGATTTTACAGCGTTGTAGAACTTGTAGCGTTAAATTTGATTTTCCATTTGATAAATCAGTCTTCAATTTCATTTAGATGTGTTTAAATTTGTTTAGAGATTAAGTACTTTAAGTGGTTGGACATAAAAAAGAGTATGTCGTCAGCAAATTGAATGAAGTGCATGGGTGAAATGGTGGGAATGTCTGTGAATATGTTGAAAAGTGTGTAATCCAGATGTGATTCTGCGTGGATTGAATGTGTTGTTATTTACTTTGACTGTAAACGTTCTGTTTTGAAAGAGGCTATTGATGGTTTTAATTCAATAATTTGGAGTACCAATTTATTTCAGTTTCAATGTTGGTCTAAGATTCTATTCTTTGTTAAATGCTTTATAAATATCCATGACGATAACTATTGTATGGAGTTAGTACTAAAATGTAATGTACGTGTTCCGTAATTCTTAAGAATTTGTAAGAATTTGAAATTTTATTACTGCAGTTAAACTGGTGCAGTGTGATTGTTTGATTTTCGTCCTTTAATACACGCGAGAAAATGTAGGGCCATTTTACAGTAAACAATGTTAAAAAATTTAAAATTGCCTTAATTTCCCCGAAAATTACGCAAAAACTACTCATTATCGAAAAAATTGTACATGACCTTATTTCAAAATTTGTCTTCAAGGAACAGATTTAATTTAGAAAAAAATCTCTGTCGTCAACATTATACACTGGTGTTTGTAAAAATGTCAACGCCAAGGATACGTACAATCATAATGAAATTAATTCCACAGATTAAGAATATCACAATATAAAAATTGTTAGAATTATAAATCGACCTGCATTTTAGCCTTTAGTATTTATGATGGTGTGCCAGGCCTCTGGTGAATCAGAGACTCTAGACGTCGTGGCGTGGATTCAAAGAGAGAACGGACATGTTGCTGTGGCCACACCTCCACGCAGTTTTTTATGAGTATGCACAAATCATCGACAGTGGCTGCAAGAGGACCAGAACGAATAAGTTGGTGACCAATCATATCCCAGATATTTCGATGGGATACATGTTAGGCGAACATACAGGTCAGGGAAACAGTGAAACACGTTGTTCTTCGCAGAACTCTTGCTCGCCATTGACCTGCTGTATAATGGCACGTAGAGCTGCTTGCAGGAGTGGCAATACCTCGGGCACTAAAACCTCCCTGATGCAGTAGTTGCTGTTCAGATTGCCCTCAATACGTATGAGGTGAGATCTCACCTTGTCGCCAATGGTGCCCCAAACTATCACACTTGGCTTTTGTCCGCAATGGCGCGGAACAATGCAGTTTGGCAGATTGCGATCACTACGGAGCGTCGAAACGTACACCGCCATCACTGTAGCACAAATTGAAGCGGGGCTCATCCAAAAGTTGTACATTTTGCCGCCCAGTAAACACGGTCACGTGCTCATTGCTGTCTAAGGCGTTGGTTTCTGGTCAACGAAATCCGACGCAGTGCTATGTGGCTACCAGTCCAGCCCTCAGTAGACGGCGTCGAACTGTCGATGCAGACATGATCAAACCCGTTGCAGTGCTCCAAAGACGAGCTTTTGTGTCGGTTACGGCAATTGACGGTCAAGATGGCGGTCTTCTCGCGCTATGGTCACATTGTGTAGCCCAGTAACAGTTCGTTGATATGTACGACCCTCCTGTATCCACTAGTTCCTCACACACATCATTGTCATAGTAGCGCGCCCCGTTCGAGACGCAATGTTACGATCCAACAAACCCGCTTTTTGGAGACCGTTCATTCGGCCCCGGTCAAACTCACTCGGATGCTGACATTGTACCCTTTGACGTCGACGCAGCATACTGACACTTGCTTGCACGTTCCACGTTGTTTGACTGCTCTCCACCGACAGAGTGTGGCGTAACACTCATCTGGTCTGTCGCACAAAGGAGGGCGCTGCTAGGCCAACGTGCACGCCATCTCTATGCAAATTTAATCACTTCTTATTGACACATTATTATACACATCCACTGGTTTTTTAATTGATTCCGACCAGTCTTTCTGGGAGATGCAATTTTCACAAACATCAGTGTAGTTGTAGAAAGACGGCCAAAAATTGTACTTTTGCGATTTTCGAAAAAAAAAAGGATTTTAATGATGAGACTTGCACCATTGTGTTGCGCGTCCGTTACTCTATACGAAGACTGTTGCCGACAATCGATTTTTTGTATCAAGACCCAATAAAATTTGGTTTCTGGATACATCGCGTGTTAGAGGATTTTTTTCTAAATTTAGCATCAGCATTTATCGCTTTTTTCGTCACCATTGCCCAGCAATAAGAGTTTTTGGCTACGATTTGCCATTTCTCACGCACGATTACATAACTTTCTCTTCTTACGAAGTATTTGTTAGGCGAGAAAGTAAAACGGATGTTGGTATATCCAATATCTATAAACTCCAACAGCGTTTGACCGATCTCCATGGAAGTTGGCACATCTTAAGTGTTTTCATTGAGAAAGTTTTTGTGCTGTTCACGGTGTTGTAACTCCAGTGGATAGTGCTAGAGCACCAGATGGCGCTTTAGTTAAATGCAATTCACAATCCATCTGAGCTCCACTTGGGGCTCGTTGTTGCTTGGCTTTACGTCTTTCTGTCGCCTACTAGTTCAGCTAATAATTTCGTCCAGTTTACATCACCAGCCGTATGATCGTCCTGTCTTGCTCGATCCCGCTCGCAAGACACGTGTTTCAGTGATTTGTTTCCTTAGTGAAATATTTTCTTTAAACAGATCTTCAAATTCGTTCATGTTCATTCTCTCAAAAATACGAGTGGGATCATGTCATTTTGCGCGAAATAAAGGCATTTTTTCTGTTACAGTTCCTGTTAATAGTTAATTACTTCCACTAACAAGTGGTGTAGACTGAATCCCTGTTTTATAGGTCTTTGATACCGAAAAATCTATGAACAACAAAATGTCTGTTTGCCTGTCACACCGTCTCCCTTTATGTTTTTGGTCAACGCTAGGACCTAAACCGTTGAGCCAATATTCTCCAAAATATATATTCCCCGATATATATGAATGAATTCAAGGCTTTGGGAATTTGAAACGGATATTTAGATTTTTGGATACTTTCTATAGAGCAACAAAACATTTTCAAACTTTTAAAACATTTCTCAAAAATGACTTCGAAACTTTCTTGATTAAAGTTTGTGTTTGGATAGTGTAAAATTCGCTTAAGGGAATGGTACAGGTCTGTTGGTCTTCGAAATCCCTGATTTTAAGAAAATTTTAAGATTAATTTTTTGGGGAGGTGTCAACCTACAACTGAAATATTGAAGATGGGGGAAATGAGTATAATTCGTAATTTGAAGTTAGCAAGTTACTAAAACTTCATTTCACAACATGTAGATACATTAAAATCCAGCATTGGAATACATAGAGCTTTCTATTAACTGGTGGTGCTACAGAATGTGACGTATATTCTCGTAATAAAGTTTTCTAGTTTCATTCGTATGTACTGGAGTATGGTCTTGCGTCATTCTCATGCCAGCTGCATCTATGACAACCTAAAGTTTCTTTGACATTTTAACACTTTGACATTTTCTCGATTTTCTGTTTCTTAGTAGTAGAACCGAAATATTACTTTAAGAATATTAACGAGTAAAACCTCGTCATCAAGGGCAATTTTCATGGAAAAATTTGGAGCCGGTTTTATGGAAATGGCGTTGAAGCGTTCCTGTAAATGTGAAATTTGAAGCTACTTTTCACATAAAATGTCTGAGTTTTCGAAAACCTTTATTTAAATTCGTTTAAAGAAGTTCAACTTACAAATCCAGGAGTGTTTAAAAATTGCTGGAAACGTGCATATTAACGGTGTGAGAGATATTTAAAATAAATAGCTGTGTCATTTTTAAAAATACGAAAGAATACCGCAAAATGAATTGTATGTCGTTTGTAACAGCGCAATTACCACTATCAGTTGGAAAAGTTTGAAGAAAAAATTTGGAGCCATTTTTGAGAAAATGGCATTTTAGAGTTTCTGAGAAAGCGGAATTTTCTCGCTCGTTTTCACAGAAAGTTTTACCAATTTCAAGAAACTTCATCAGATGTCATTTAAAAAACATGTACTTGTAAATGAATAATTTTGACAAATCACCACAAATGTAAACATTAACGACGTGGGAAGCTAGTAAAAAAATATATTTCTGTAATTTTTGAAAAAACAAAAGAATATACCAAATGGCGTTTATTTAATCTTATAGAGTGCATTGAGTACTATCCCTACAAAAAATGTAAAGAACAACATTGGAGCAATTTTTGAGAAAATCTTGTTTTTCTAATATTTTGAAATTGCACAAATTGCACGGAATATTGCGCGAAAACTACTAAAATGTTCAAAAATGTACATGACCTTAATGAAAGAACAAATTATGGACAACAAATTTTATTTCAAGGAAACATCTCTATCTTTGATTTTGTAGTTCTAGGAAGACGCCGAAATAAAATTCACAATTTTGCAATTTTCGAAAACTCAGAGATAACCATGACAATCTTACGTATGCCACCGTTATACGTGAAATTTACTCTATTCTTACAAGAAATGTAAAGAAAAAAATTGGAACCGTTTTTGAGAAAAAAAATGAAAATATCCGTGGGGTTTCATGTAAAGAACCCCCGAATTATAAAGAATGTTTTTTAAAACCTCAAAGTT